CCGCCTCCTCGTCCTCCACATCCTCCTCCTCCTCCTCCGCCTCCTCCTCTCCCTCCCCATCCTCCTCCCCCTCCTCCTCCTTCCATCGCCCAAACGCGGGTCCCAGGGATGGCCCGAAGAGGCCGTCCAAGACAACCCCATTGCTGCAAAGATCCCTCGGTTCACCGTGTTAGCCCGCTTTGCTCCACGGTATACATGCACATAAAGATATACATACATGCATGCAGACACACATACAGGCCTGCATACATACAGATACCTATGCATATACATACATACATACATACATACATACATACATACAGACAGACAGACAGACAGACAGACATACATACATACATGCATACATGCATGCATGCATGCATGCATGCATGCATGCATGCAGACGTACATACATACATGCATGCATGCACGCGCACATGCATACATGCATACATGCATACATACCCATACATACATGCGTGTATACATGTATGCATACATGCATGCACACAAAACATGCGTACATGTACAGATATACCTGCATATATACATGCATGCATGCATACATACATACATACATACATACATACATACATACATGCATGCATGCATGCATGCATGCATGCATGCATGCATGCATACATACATACAGACCTGCATACATACAAACATGCATGTATGCATGCATACATCCATACATACATACCTACATGCATGCATACATACATACATACATACATGCATGCATGCATGCATGCATACGTACAGACATACAGACAGACAGACATGCATACGTACGTATATCTATATACGACACACATACATACATGCATGCATGCATGAATGCATGCATACATCCATACATATGCATGCATATGTACATACATACATACATACGTGCATGCATAGATACATACATTCCACACATGAATACATAGATGTATGCATGCATGCATGTATGCATACATACATCCATACATACATACACACGTACATACATACATGCACACATACATACATACATACATACATGCATACATACATACATATACATACATATATACATACATACATGCATGCATGCATGCATGCATGCATGCATACATACATACGTACAGATATACATATATACATACATACGCACATGCATGCATACACACATGTGATGTAGATTGTTCGTCCCGTTCTTCCCGTCACCTCTCATGGGCAGGGCTTGTGAATCGGATGGCTGGGATACGCGAAGAGTGAGAAATTGAGCACCTCACCTCCAAGATGGCCCCAAGGTGGCCCACAAGGCACCCAAGAGTGCCCCAAGAAGGCTCCAGGATGCCTCCTCCTACCCCTCTTGAGGTACGACGGCTTCCCAGCCTTTATTCCACGGCGCGCTCCCCCACTTGCCTGATCATGGCAACTCGCCTGGGCGTCGTTTCTGGATGGGCTGGCGTCTAGACGTGAACCTGTTCGGCGGAGCTCCCTATGGGGCCGCGAAACATGTGAGAGGTGTGCCGACATGGGCGGGGAAACGCATGTGGGCGCCGTCACTGGGGCCTTCGGTAGAACTCCCTGGAAGGGGGCCACGAAACGTGCGAGGGGTGTGCCAGACTGGGCGTTGTCCCTGGGTTTCCCCTGGAGCCCCCCAAAGGGCCGCAAAGGGTACAAGGGGTGCCCCAGAATCGGCCAGGAGACGCATGCTGGCGCCGCGTCCGATGTTTTGTTTGTGACATGGCTTGCGCGCCGTTCGCTGCGAGCGCCCTCCGCTCAAGAGAGCCCCAGCAGGACCGTCCAGGGCGGCAGCCACAGCGAGCCCTGCATGTGCAGCGCACACAGGGCGCCCCTGTTGGGCTGCCGCAGGGCCGCCAAGGCGCAGCCAGCACACGCCAAAATGGCCGAGAGGGCCTGCGTCGCACGCTCACCTCCGCTGAGAAGCACGCCTCGCTATAGATGACTGACAAGGTGCGTCAGCGGCTTGCTGGACTTCGGCTCCAGCGAAGCCGCGATGTTCTTGCCCTTCCGCGCGCGGGCGTGCAGCGAGGGGCACGCGACAGGCTAGCAGGAACCTCCGAGCTGCCTGCGCTCGCCGCGCTGCACTCTTGCGCAGCACTGGCACCGCTTGCAGATCTTGCGGCCGTCGGCCGCCCCCAGGTCGCGGCTGCCCGCGACGCCTTCGACGCACGTGTCCAGGGGCCCGCCCGTCGCCTCAGCGGCTTCGGCGGCCTGACAACCCTTCCCACGGCTCCCAGCCGCCAAACTGGCGCAGGGCCCGTCGCCTGAGAGAGACGGCTCAAGGGGCGAACTGACGGGCGGGCTGCCGCCAGCGGAGGACGCAGCGGCCTCGGCCCACCGCTGCCTCTGACCTTCCTCGCGCCCCAGCCCCTTCGCCGCCAGGGCCGCGGCCACCACGCCAGCGGCACGCAGGGCAGGGACGCCAGGCCCCCCCTAGACGCCGTTGACGCCGCGGGCGAAGGCCTCCACATTGCACGGGTGCAACAGCAGTTTCTTGAACTTCTGGTCCAGCCAGGCCGCGCGCAAGCATCGCCTGCGGTGAAAGCCGCCGATGTCGGGCTCCACGTTGCTGCGGCGGTCGCGCAACGTGGCGGTGCCCTCATTGACGTCCTTAAGCGCGGCGCGCCGCTTGACCTTCTTGACGGCGTGGCCGTCGTCACCCATCCCGTCGAAGTCGTCGAGCGCTTGCCACGCTCGACTCCACGAGCAACCCCAGGCCGAAGTGGCCTCGGTGGTCCCCTCGCAGTCTCTCTCCAGTATGCCTTGGGCGACGTAGGGCGCATCGAAGGAGGCCGCGATGGGCGGGAACGAGTGCCTGAGCAGGACCAGCCAGCCCATCCGCCCCGTCGATGGACTGCAATGGGCCTGGGAGCGGAGTGCCCAGGGCCCTGACCGCAGACCGCGGCCCTGGGTCGCGCTGCGCCCCTCCCGGCGGCAGCTCGGCCAGCGCGCGCGCCGAAATGGCCAGCGAGAAGCCCGCCTCGCACACCACACCGTCCGAGAAAGGGGCATGCCGTCGCCATCCCCCTTGAAGCACTGCGCGCGCGCCAGGAGGTCGTCGCCTGGCGGCCTCCATGCGTGAAGCGGCTCTGGAAGCAGCAGCCTCTCCACCAGCGTCGCGATGGTGGCGCTGCTGCCGAAATTGATGAGCTAGGCGATGTCTGCCGGCAGGATCCAGCTTGACCAGCTGTCCTGGCATGCTGCGTCGATGCCAAGGGGTGCCAGGAACCCCAGGGCGTAGCTGGCAGCACGGTGTAATAGAAAGGCCCGGCGAGGAGTGGTAGCGCCTGTCGTTGGGCCATTGCTCTTGCACCACCAGCGAGCGCACGTAGCCCCGCGCGTCGTTGTTGAGCGTACCCCACTTCCTCGCCTCATGGGTGCTGCCCTTGCTGTTGAGGACCCAGCGCCTGATGTGGTGGATGAAGGCACCGTTGGCGATGTCCGCGTGCGTGCCCTGGGCTAGCTGTTTATTTTTTGCCAGCTCCTGATGTCCATGATGACAACCTTCTTGAGGTACCAGGGCGATATGCCGAGCAGGCTGATGATCTCCCCGTTGCGCCTGACGATCTTGTCTAACCCCAGCGGGTCGCAGCCTACCCTTCGCAGCGACATGATCGCAGCTCCCAGCGGTCCCGTAACCTTCTCCCACTTGGCAGCAAGCCCCGCAGCCAACAGGCATCCAGTTTTCCTAGATCGCTCTTGCCAGGGTGCAGCAGGACGCGATGGTGGCCGCGAAGATTGGGTCGAACGTCTCTGCTCTGCCCAGCATCAGGCAGGCCGTGAGCGACTTGCCATGCGGCCTTGGCTCGATGGCGTGCCGTATCTTCCTCGTTCGCCTGAGCTCCATGTCGTTGAGCCCTGTGCAGTTGATGTCGTAGAGCAAGCGTGGGGCTATACCTGTGGATACCACTTTGGCAGTCGCATAACGCCCTCGACGGAGCCCAAACAACCTGCGCAGCCGAGGTAGCCGAAGACGAGTGAGGGCGATTCTCATCCTCATTGTGGCGTTCGACCTGCGAGCTCCCTCCGAGTGGTCGATGCCAAGGTTGCGCACCAGCTGCACGCCGATCGCTCCAGTAGCTTTGCCCTGGAGCTTCTGTAGCTGGTCCCTGAGCTGCTTGTGGCTGGCGAAGACCCTGGACTTCTTGGTGGCTATCTTGAGCCTGACCTTAGCCAGGTTGCGCACGACCGCCTTGGCCGCTCTCGAGAGGTCCTTGGCGACCCTCTCCGCGCCTCTCCATCACTGGAGGACCAACTCGTCTGCGTCAAGCGCCTTCGGTAGAGCTCACTATGGGGCCACGAAGCGCACGAGGAGTGTGCCAGAATGGGCCTGGGGACGCATGCTGGCGCTGCCTCTGGAGGCTTCGGTGGAGCTCCCTATGGGGCCACAGGGGTGAGCCGAAATGGGCATGGGGACGCATGCAGTCGCTGCCACTGAGGCCTTCGGTAAAGCTCCATGTGGGGCTACGAAACGTGTGATGCGTGTGCCGACATGCACGAGAGGACGCATACGAGCGCTGCATCTGGGGCCTTCGGCCGAGCTCCCTATGAGGCCGCGAAACATCGAAGGTGTGTGCCAGACTGAGCCCGGGGATGCATGCGGGCGCTGCCACTGAGACGCTACACCGCGCGTTGGTTCTGCGCGATGTGTACGATATCTACACGAAGGCAGTGTCTGCCAATGGTCTCTCTGAGATGCTGCCGTGTGCAACTCCCAGGGCTGAAGCCCGTGGCCAAAGCGGGGACCAGCTCTCCAGCGCCAAGGCGGGAGACAGATAATTCAAAGGAAAGAAAGGAGAGAGGAGACAAAAATCGAAGAAGAAGAAGAAGCAGAAGAAGAGACGGCATAAACAGAAACTGCCAGAGATCCGCGCGGATTTCTTGGATCGGCGCCGAAGCCCCCTGAGCAAGGGGGCAGGGCATTGGAGGAAGCAGGAGGGAAGGTCACACGGGAGGGACCCAGTCGGGAGGGGGAAGCAAGAATGGTGTTGGCGGCGTCGGCATGACCGAGGAGCCCGCCATGCCACGGGACACGCGCGCGGCTACGCGCGTGTCGTAGAACTCCACCAGGAAAGAGCGGTCATCGCAGAGCTCGATCTTGGAGACCTCCAGGGCGCCGGGAAACTCGGGATGGCAAGCGAGGAGCGGGGAAGGGGGGGAGGGAGGGACGGGACGGGACAGGAGGGACAGTTGCGCAGCTGGCACGCCGCGCCAAGGAAAGGGGAACCTCGTCTGGGTCCGCGTGGGGATCCCATCCCAGGAGCCCACGAAAGTGGCGTCATTTGCGCAGTTGGCACGCACCGCGGGGGAGCGCAGAGTCTCGTCTGCGTCCATGTGGGGGAGCTCACTCCGCTGGGCCTCCCAGGAGCCCACGAAAGTGGCGACGGTCGCGCAATGGGACGCTCACCAGGAAGCGCGAGGTCCCGTCTAGGTCCACGTGGCGATCCCACTCCGCTGGGCCTCCCAGAAGCCAACGAAAGTAGCGACGGTCGCGCACTTTCTACGCCCCCAAGAGAGCGCGAGGTCCCGTCTGGGTCCGCGTGGGGATCCCACTCCGCTGGGCCTCCCAGGAGCCCACGAAAATGGCGACGGCCGCGCAATGGGACGCTCACCAGGAAGCGCGAGGTCCCGTCTAGGTCCACGTGGGGATCCCACTCCGCTGGGCCTCCTTGAAGCCAACGAAAATGGCGACGGTCGCGCAGTTCCCACGTCCCCAAGAGAAAGCGCGAGGTCCCGTCTGGGTCCGCATGGCGATCCCACTCCGAAGGGCGACGGTCGCGCACGGGAAACGCGAGGTCCCGTCCGCGCGGGGATCCCACTCCGCTGGGCCTCCCAGGAGCCCAGAGAAGAGAGAGAGAGAGAGAAGATAATGAGAAAGAAGACACAGGAGACCGAGGGCAAGAGGGACGACTGAGGGCAGACGCAGGGAAAAGAGGGGGGAGGCGGAAGGAGGTGGGCGCGCGGGCGGCCCCTCGCCCAGCACGAGCACCGCACACGCGCACAGCGAGCGCTGGGAACCGAAACGGCAGCTCGGGGGGAAGGGCGCCACGCCCGGCGCCCGTCGTTCCACACGCGCGGCCTGCGGCGAGCGAGTGCTGCGACCCTGCCGCCGGCCCCCTCTCCCGAGGGGCGGGGGGCCGAGACGGGGAGGCGAGCGGCGGGCGCAGAGGACGGGCGAGGAGAGGGGAGGCCCCGGATCGCCGAGGGGAGCGCCCGCACGCGCCGCCGAGCCCCGTGCCGGCCATGGTCGGCGTCGTCCCTCCGTGCACGCAAGACCGACGGGCTCGGCGGGTCCTGTGCCCGAGTTGATGGTGATGGTGATGATGGTGGTGATGATGATGATGGTGGTGATGATGGTGATGGTGCTGATGATGATGATACTGATGTTGATGACGATGATGATGCTAATGACGAAGACGTTGCTGATGAGTATGTTGATGATGGTGATGATAATGGTGATGATGGGAGTGATGGTAATGAAGATGATGCTGCTGCTGATGATGATGTTGATGATGATGATGAAACTGATGATGATGATGATGATGATGATGATGATGATGATGATGATGATGATGATGATGATGATGTTGGTAATGCAGATGATGATGATGATGATGATGATGATGATGATGATGCTGGTAACGCAGATGATGATGGTGATGATGATGCTGATGATGATGATGATGGTGATGATGATGCTGATGACGGTGATGATGATGGTGAAGGTGATGATAATGATGATGATGATGATGATGATGATGATGATGGTGATGATGATGATGATGATGATGGTGGTGATGATGATAATGGTGATGATGGTGATGATGATGATGAGATGATCGTGATGATTGTGATGATGGTGATGATGATGCTGCTGATGATGGTGCGTGCGAGGACCGACTCTGGCAGTGTAGCAGTTCTGCCAGAAGAGCAGCAGCAGCAGCGCGGTCTGGCGCAGCGTTGCCTCCTGCACGCTCGGCAGCGCTCCTCTGCATCAGCTCTGTCTTCGTCGCAGCGGCACGCGTCGGCAGGAAGGGGACGACCCAAAGCCAGCCAACCCTGGCTCCGCAGAGGAACAGCACAAAGCGGCATGAACACAAACTTTCGCAAATCCGCGCGGATCTCTCGGATCGGTGCTGGCCCCTCCTCTTGTGCCGTTTTTTTCTCTTTCGGCTCGCCCCACAGTGTGGTAGGTCACAGCACAAACTTGGGACTTCCGTCGGAGATCTACCGATCCGGGCCAATCCAAACCCGGGCCAGCCAAGCTTTGAGGGATCCTGCAAGACCCTCCTGCAGGATTCTGGCGCTCTGACTGGCCCCCTGCTTGCCTTGGCCCCCGTCTCTTGGGCCCCGATCCCCATGGTCTTCGAGGGGCTCCGGCCGTCGGCGGCCGTCGCCGCCACCCGGCCGTGGCGGGCTGGCTGGTCGCCAACCGCCGCCTCGAGCGGAGTGCCGCGGAGCGCGCGCGGAGGGCGCCGCCCTGGGCACCAGTGAGACTCCAGGCGGCACACGGGCGGCCCCCCACGGGTGGCCCGGCTGGCCTCGGCAGGCCCCCATGGGCAGCCCAGGACGGTCCCAGTTCCCCAACCCGACACGGGGGGAGGCCAGCCGGGACAGTCTTGGGGGGCTGCCTGGGAGCAACCCGAAGCCTCACCACCCTGATGGGTGCTCAGGCACGGCTGCTCCGTGTCGTGACGACTCGTGCGCTGGCTGCTGACACCGCGTGGATCGTTCAACACTGAACGATCGCGGACTTCGAGTCTCGCGGATCGTGCAATGACGGCCGATTCTGGGCCACCGGGGGCGTTCGGCCATGAACGCCCACGCTGGGGTCACCGCCGCGCAGGCACGACGTGAGGCTACCGTACTCAGCAGACGGGGACTTTTGCACGATGCCGACAAAAGACGTTCCCCTGCCACTCTCTTGGCACCACCCCGCGCGAAAGCGATCCTGCGAAAAAGATGGCACTCTCCCGCCACTCTGCTGCCGTTTTCCGTGAGGGTGGCCGACAGGGGGGGGACCAGCTCAGGGGGGGAACGTCGAGCTTGAACATCGGCGCCACATCGTCGATAGATCGGCAATGGGCCCTCGACAGCGAGACTGCACGCTCCTGGGCGCAGTAGGCTCTTGGCGATGACTGGGCGATTGGGGTCCATGTATCCCCCCCTGAGCCAATGCTCCTCCTCGTCTGGCTTTCGGGTCTCAGCTCGGGTCCCTGGAAACCGCTCGGGAGGATCAGCGCACCCCTCGGCGGCGCAGCTGCTGGAAAGCACCCCGAGGCTGGAGAACGGCCGAGAATCGACGAAAATGCCCGAGCACCCTCGTCCTCGAGCCCCTGCGCCCATGCCCCCTCGGACGCAGCCCCTGAACCTCCGCGCACGCCGCCGAGGCAACCGTCGCCAGGCGTGCTCGCATTGGCGGCGCCAGAGCATGCTCTTATCTCGATTCTGGCGAGCTCACTTGCACGGCACTCCCCTCCTCCCCCTCCACCGCCAACTCAAGCAGCGCCGGTCGAAGAGGCGCGCGAGTGAGCCCCGACTTGCGTGAAGTCCAGCCTCGCCGCGCACCCCCTTCCTCTGGGGAGCCCACAGAAAACGTACACACCCAACCACGTGCATGAACACGGCCCCCCCCAGTCCGCGAGACCGGCCGCGTGACACGAACGTTCGCGCAGTGCGCATTCTCGAAACCAGCGTGGCTTCATGTCCGCGCACGTCCTCCTGTCCCTCCTGGCTCTCTCCATGCGAGTGAACCTGCCAGGCTCCACGACACGAGGCGTCCTCCCACGCGCGCCGCCGAGGCGCCCGTCGCCCGACGTGCCCGCCTCGGCGGCGGGCGGGCGGAGGGCGCGCCCCCGGGCGAGAGGCGCGCTCGGCGCCTCGGGCACGATGTCGCGGTCCAGGCTGTGGCCGCCCGTCAGCCGCACCGACCTGCCGAGCCCGCGGGGCAGGCAGGGATCGACGAGTCGGATCGGCGATCGACGCGAGTCGGATCCAGTCGAGAGGGGCCGAAACGGCGGAAGTCGGCAGGCTGGTAGGCCTGAGGAGGAGGAGGAGGAGGAGGAGGAGGAGGAGGAGGAGGAGGAGGAGGGAGGTTGGAGGAGGAGGAGGAGGAGGAGGAGGAGGAGGAGGAGGAGGAAGGAGGAGAGGAGGAGGGATGAGGAGGAGGAGGAGGAGGAGGAGGGAGGAGGAGGAGGTGGGTGGAGAAGTCGGAACCCAAATCGGAAGAACCGAGACGGGCCCTGGGCAGGCGGCCCGGCGCTAGCTCCGGCGCGCAGGACGGGGGGGGGAAGAGAAAGGGCCCCCGCCCTCGCAGCCACGACGCGGCGCAGCTCGAAGCACAGTCTCGACCCCAGGAGGGGTCTTGGGGAGCGACGTCGAGCGGAGCTGCCAGCACTGCTCCCTCTCGACTTTTCTCTGGGCGTGTGCAGCTCCCACCCCTCGGCCGCCCCCTGTATCCCTCCTGATCACCAGAGGAAGAAACATCCACATCGGCAGGAGCTTCCAGAACAGCGCAGACCTCAGAAAGTTTGGGCCTTTCAACTGACATGCCAATCGACATGAACCATCGAAATGCAGGTTCCCCCCCACCCACCCCGACACACCCAACACGACTCCTTATCACCCTGCGAGTGGTCTGTGGGGCATCTAAGTACACTCTGCTACGACGAGGTCGGCGATGTATCCGTCAGCAGGAACAAGATGAGAAGAAAAATGGGGATCGAACACACACCGGTGCCGCCACTCCCCAGACCTCTCCAGGGGTGTCTTCTGACCAAAGTTTTGAGGAGAACCCAGCCGTGGCGATGAGGGCTCTCGAGGACGAGCAGCGGTATCGGTACATGTTCCTCCCCTGAAGAAGACTACAAGCCCCCTCCGCTAACGTGGCGAATCCCTAATCTAAGCTGACCCAGGCCCTGTCGACTCTGTGCCAAAGCTAACCTGATCCATTAAAGCTAACGTGACCAACGGCTCGGCGACACCAGTGTGTCACGCGCGCGCTGTAGTAAATGAT